TCTGACAAATGACGTTCTCCATATCTGCGGGACAGAGGCAGTTTCAATAATAATATAATTGTTGTTTTTGATTTGTATTTATATGTTCTTAAAATTCTGGCTTTGATTCGAATATATCAAATAAGTCTGTTATGCTCATATGAGATGGAAAACCAGTTTTCATGAGTTTTTGGTAGGCAATGGAGCCTGACGAATCTAACTGTGATTGAACCAAATTTTCATCGAAAAACTTACTAGACTGACATGCATTTGGTTTGATACAGCGAACAAATGAACACTTCTACAAAGAAAGAATACAAAATTGGTAAAATTCCAGATGAAAAAGCATGTAAATTGCAAACAATAATTTATTATATTGAAATTGACTATCTGTTTCACTTTCAGTTTGATTTAATGCGTCAAAAAGTTTATTGGTTCCTTTTTTTAATCTAAACGAAGCAGATTTACTACATGGATCGATGTTTGTTTTATTGCTAAGGCTGATATATTCACATATATTTTTTACAGCTTTAAATATACTGTCTTTGTTTTTCTCAACAAAATTTTCCTAAAAAATATCAATGAAATTGTAAAAAAAAAAAATATATACGTCCTTTTTTGTAATATTTTGACTAAAATTCTTTAAAACCCTTTAACTTACAGCGCAATATAGAACATCGCCCATGAAATGGCGGATCACAAATCCTGTGTTCTGTTGAATGGGTTTTGGTTTCGGAATGGTTATAATTGAGTTATTTGGCCAACTTGACAAAGTATTTTGAACAAATGCCATTGAGTTTTGGCATGGAAGCTTATGAGAGTCGTCTAAACGTTTGAATAATCCTTTTACGTTGTTTTCAAAAATGTCTATAAATTAAAGAATTGTTTTTAAACACACAAAATAAATGAGAATTAATATAGATTTTTTATACCTAGAATATGGCTGTTGTCAAAAAATTCGATCTTCGGAACTTCAAGGTTCTCTTTTATATACCACTGCTCTTCATTTTTTAGCATTAATTTAACGGAAACTTGCTGAATCTTTTCATTAACAAAGTTAATACATAGTTGCTCAAAATGATCACCTTCTCGGAATGATTCTGTGTAAATTAGTGGAAAAGATATAGATATTATTTTGAATTGTGTCACTTTTCTTAAATAACAAATAAATTCAATATAGCAAAATTACCAAAACCAGCAATATCCAACAGATTATGCGTGATAGTGACGGATCAGTCCGTACATTCACATTAGTACTGTTGAATAAATGCACCACATTCTGAAAAACTTGTTCATATAAACATTTTGACAAACTGTCTCTCATTTTGTTCGCTCTTGGTAGATCTAAAGAAATTGTTCTAAAAAAAAATCTATGTAAAAATGCCAACTTACATAATTTCCTCGGAACCAGATTGAATGTCACGAGTCAGTATCGCTGTTTCAAGCAATTGTTGATCAATATTCAATAGCTGAGCAGCACAATCAAAGTGTTTTCTTGTTGGATCCGATATTTTACATTTTTCATTTGCGATATTTTCTTCAATATCCACGTTGTCTAAATGCAAAATTGCAGCTAGTGTTTTGTATATTTGAATTCTGGTTTTATTACAAATTCCAACACTAGCTAATGATTCGTCAATGAGATTCATATCTGGCAAACTTTCCAAATCTTCTATTCCTGAATATTTCGGCAAATACTAGAAAAAATAACAAATTTACTATTAAATTGAGATCACTCAAACACTATATTTTAGATTTACCTCATATTTTTCACTGATGTTAAGATGAAGATCTTTGTAGGAATTCGCTGACTTCAAGAGATAATAGAAGATATGAAAGTTACTCTCATCTTTGTTTTGCCCATAAACTCTACTACTTTCAAGTAGTTGATAAAAAATTTGAATTGTAGCTATTTTCTTATTTGGATAAAAGTAAATCTATAAAAGAAATCAAGGATGAAATAAAAAAATTGATTTTAAATATATGATTTTTATACTCACCTCCGTCAACTTGATAAATCGCGAGCTATTCTTGTTCGAGCATTGCCGAAGATCTCGAAAACCAAACTTGTGGCACTAATACGCCGCTGATCTTGAACAGACATAGTCGAATCGGGTGAGGTCATACAAATAAAATACATAAGATACTCTATGCTTTTAGTTTTTCCTGATCCTGATTCTCCCGTCAGAATAATAGATTGTGACTTCTCAACACTTATGTTTTCTCCAACGTTGTTGGCTAAAACACATTATTGGTTCAAACATTAGTTTATAATTAAGATTTTTATCAGAAATATTCACTTACCGATGGCAAAAATATGCGGTGGGAATTCATTTTGCATATCTCCTCGGTGAAACATAATCTTTTCTTTTGAATGTAAACCATCTATCTCCATATATGGGTTTATAGAATTTAGCACTTTGGAAATATAAGTCTGTTCAAAAGTAAATTAAAGTAGTGGTCAAAGTAGTAAGTCATTTATTCATTAGATATATACTCACATAAATATTGCGTTGCTCAAACCTTTTTTTCAAACAGGGAATAATTAATTTTTCGTCTGATAATTCACAAATATCGGTAATTTGTTCCATTGTTTGAAATTATTGAAAAAAAAAAACCTTGAGAACAACTATAACCGATAATTAAATATTGTGACATTAAATGTCAATTCAGATGTCATTAGTGAATTTGACAAATACACTAGCAAATACATACGTCTTTCTCAAATTGTCACTATACTCTAGACTATACTGGTATGACAGTAAGCTTTGAAACTATTTGAATCTAGATTTGAATTTGAACAGACTAGTGAACAGAAACGTGAAATTTTGAAATTATTTTGGTTCGGTGCAGTTATTATTATTAATTTTTTCACCTTTCTTAATAATAATAATAATAACTGCACCGAACAGCGTTCCTTCGCCTTGGTGGTTTATTGAATATATTTTAAATAAATACAAAATAATTTTATTCTTACATCTAGTAGTTTTGAAGGAGATTAATAATTTGCTCAGTATTCTTTCTATTCAATTCTATCTATTTTGTTTTAAATATTTTTCAATTCTC